ATTGTGTGATGGTATGAGAGCTGTAGCAAGATTATTTGTGACATTTGTGCTAAAGGGGTTTTCTTTGTCATGGAAGGAATGAAAAACGGGAATTCATGAAAGCACAGACAAAAACTATACATTTATAAGAATTTTTCGATTCTCCTCTGTGTATCGTGTGTATTCCCTGTTTCTAAACCTATAAATGTTTTAGTTTGTCCACTTGATAGTGATTCAAATTTGTTTTCTCATTTGTTGACTGACTATTGTAAAGGAAATTAGCATATGTCACTACTTATGGGAATACGTCCCTGAATCTGGGAGCTTTATTGAAAACCTTTTTGCCTATGAAGGGATATAAAGGGGAATGTTTGTTTTCCTTTTAAGTGTTAAGCGAAATCATTTGACCATTTTAGTAAGTGTTTTCAATTATTTAGGTCTTTGGAGGGCCTTGAAATGTTTTAGTTTGTCCTATGGTGGTCATTTACATCTGTTAGTTTTTAAAACACACAAAACTCAAAGCACAATAAAGACGTCTAGGATGAGCACTGCCGAGTCACTAGTGAAGAGAAAAACAGCCATTGTACTTTGTAGCCTCTGTGCCTAAATGTCTGGGCCTCTCAGTGCAGAGACCAGAATCAGACACTGATGAATACATTTGCATCCTTATGTTCCCTTCCTAACAAAAGTGACATTTTAAACCAAACTGTCTCCTCTAGCAGAGTAGATGAGCAATTTTGTCAGAGGGAACATGACTCTCCTGACACACATCCCCACACACATGTATGCATAGACATGCACACACACACACACACACGCTCACATCCTCTCTCTCTGTCTTCCTTGAAGTTGTGTCAGTGAAATTCAGTGCCTCGGAGATCTGCTACACAGTCATTCTGAAAGCTTCGTAACAGCTTGTGAGTGCCGCACAGATGCAGAGCAAGCCGGTAATCTGTTGAGATTCTTTTATTCTTCTCCTCTATCTGCAGACAGATTTAGAACAGCACCACTTGGTCCAGATGAATGAACCTGTCTCACTGAATAAGTCGTTTTCCCCAAGGAGAGAGTTTGGGTTGGGTATGGAATTCTCACACTGTTTTATCTGTTTTCAATTCTGGGGAATTGAAAAGTGAAATGTGTAACGTCTGATGATTGCTGGGTTTCATTCTGGCACAGCGGGGACAGAGGCACAATATGAAGACAAAATTAGAAGAAGAGAGGAGATATCTAGCGCTGGTGGAGCTCTCTGTGTGTTTATGTTCTTGCTGCTCTGGCAAGAAGCAGTCAATTAAAACCCTGCATTGATTGAGGATTACGCTATTAGTTGAGACCAGTGTTCTCAGTAGCAGCTGTGCCACTGTTGGATAGAACTGCATGTGTTGAGATAGAGAGCTTGAAAATGTGTCTGCATAACTCTGTGGATTATCGGTTTGCCTTGCTGTCTTTTGTAAACCTGCCTCATATTTCTCTTCTATCCAGCATGTCTGACAGCTGTCTTCATCCTGTCATCAGTTCTACTCATAGAAGAAAAAACATAGACATTGTACCTCTTTCACCCATAGGCTTCTGTTGTACTTTTTGAAGCTTCAAGTTTATCCTTGACGTCATCCTGTGACATGCTGCCGGAGCAAGACAATCCAGATATAGGCATCGGAGAGGAAATGGGGTGGAGCAGAGAAGAAACAAGGAAGCAGCAATTATCACAGCTGAATTTCAGGGAGATTTACGAATTTCAATCAAACACCCCTCCAAACACCGCCTCAATGTTTTCTTTGTGAAATAATAGTTCCAAAATGTGCTGATAAGGACACAAATTAGAAGTGTGCTGACCATTGAGACCCCATATCCCTGTGAATACATAACCTACCTACAGAGAGATATGAGGAACTTTCTGAGGACCTCAGAATAGTCTGTGTTAGTGTCATTAGACAAGTGGGGGATTTTTATTGAAAATACATACATCTCTGGAAAAAATTAAGCGACTACAAACTCTACATCTCTGTACTGAAGCCATTCTCATCCAGTGTCTGTTGAATTCCAACACAAGTGGCCTCATTCTCTTTAATGAGATACTGATTTGGTGATCACCTAACAAGCCATCGACTACAAGCCAAGCAGCTTATAATGGAGAGATGTCAAGAGTGACAGGGCGCCAAGAGTGGCACAATGTCAACCACCAGCATAGTGAGGCTTGCAGAGTAACTCAGTCTGTAAGGGGTCGGGTTTGGAACTGGAGGGTCTCCAGTTCAAGTCCCAGTTTGGACCACATGTGGAGTTTTGGACTGGTTGCTGCAGGGGTGCCAGTTAAGTCTCCAAATACTGCCAAAGTGCCCTCAAGCAAGGCACAGAACCCCCAACTGCTCTGGACAAAGAGCAGCCCCCTCACTCTCATCTCTCCATTAATGGATCCTGTGTGTCCTTTTGGGCCTATGTGTTTGGAGCATGTCTCAAAAAAGAGTGAACAGATGTAATTTCTGTTCGAATTAATAAAGAACACAGAAAAAGAAGAATTTTGGAGAATTAATAAAAGCCGTAAAGCAGTTGTAGTTTTACCTACAGAGGAAGAGCCAGAAGTTATATGAGGTCTACTTTACCACATTTGTTCAAACTTTTGTTATAAGGATAGCAGATCAAACCATATTGTCAATAGTATTTACGTGTGCAGTTATGAACTTGTTTAAAAGGCACTTATCTCAAATCTTCCAAGGATACATATTTAACAGAAAACTTCTGATACAAATTCAAGTATGAAGAATATGACTGAAGAGTTTGATCTGGGGGACTGAAGGAGCTGCTAGCCTTAGAAAGATACTTTTTTTTGTTGAATATCTCTGATGGGGACTGATACTAAAAATCTATCTATTAATTAACATTGCACAGCTTACCTAGATCACTTAACAGTGATAATTATTAATAATACATAAATGCATCAGTCATTTTCATAATACCTAGGTACTTATTTTAAAGACTGAGCTCGCTTAATTGGACTTCATTACACACTATATTTATATCATTAACATAATTTCAATTCATTCAGTGTAGCTCTTTTATTGAACTAATTTGTTGTTTGTTTTTCATCATCGGGTTATTGCCAGTCCCTGCATGTTGTAATATTTTCTGCCGGGTGCATGAACTGTGTGGTGACAGCTGTGTATACTGATTTATTCATAAGCTATGCACTCTAGTTAACAAGGATATCCAGACCAACACTCAAAGCAGCCAGATCAGTCATTGAACACAGAGATAATGATCTGTCTCTCTATTTCTCACCAACTCACGCCTCATACACAGACATACAGAAGGGGCCTCTGTCTCCCTTATGTACAGTACATAGCATTTAACGAGTGCAAAGGAAACTCCATTTGATATCATATTATTTAGAATGGGAATTAAGATTCAAGGCGCAGTCATCTCACTTAAAGTGGGTTTTGATTATACTAATTACATCCACTCCCACGCCTACATTTTCACCCATTAAGACAAATGTTTTGAGAGAGCATTGTGCTGTTATTTCTTATGGTTTTCAAGTCGAAAATGCCATGAAAAATCACATGAAATCGCTGCATTTGTAATTTTGTCCCAAGCATTTATTTGTTGTTATCATCAGGCTGAGGTACGACTCCTGCACTATAAAACAGCTAAATGCTCTATAGCGTCATTATCAGATAGTGAGGATCTAGAGAGAAAAAATAAATCGTTGGTACCTATTTCAAGTCACTCTCTGGTGCCAGGAAGTGTAATTCAGGTAATGGTTGCAATTTGCAGAGGCATTAGATTAAAACACTTCAGCACTTAGCAACAATGCCAAAGCAACAGGCTGCTTCTTTGTTGAAAATGTCATCCATTTTAGTCGCTTAGTCTTGTCTCAATCATACTGAAGGCAGACAATAATAGCATTAAGGGTTTTGTCCAAAGACTCTTACTTTCTGTCTACAAAAGCCTCTTAAGGCGAGGATCAGCATGTCAGTCCCTCAATGTCTACACAGGATCTGCTCAGCCAGAGGACTGCTGTGTTGTCGGTGGTGACGTGCATAAATAAAGAAAGATAAAAAAGAAAGACAGAAGACACAAAAGCTTGCTGCTACATGCAGTAGTGCCGGTGACTAGTGTCTATATGCAACCTTTTTATACATTTTCATTGATTAAAATAAACTAATTTCCTATTTGAGAGACACTCCATCAAGATCTAACCTTAACCAGGCAATGGGCTTATATTCTACTTAATTGTGTTATCCCTACTTTATCTAAAAACTTAGAGACAGAGTGCAACACCTCAAAACCTGTAAACAACGCTCAACAAAGTAAAATAGAAAAACACGCGACCAAGAGCTAAAACACTATACAGTAAGAGTTGTTGTAATAAACTAAAAACATGATACATGATATCCCGGTGTGGATGGATTATTAAAGCATCATATGTCTACCAGATAGGAGAAGTGCATTAACTCAAAAATGTCAGCCCTGCTCCATGTCCTTCTTCCTTACCTTGGCTTGTTTTGGCTAGAAGTAATGTACTTTGTTGTGTACAGAAGTTTTTTGGAATCACTGGCTGAGATTAGCATTGAAACAATTGAAACCCATTCATTTATAGCTTGGCTTCAACCATGACTTTTTATCTGGACCAATATCCGTGTGTCAGCTTCCTAAGGTTTCTTATTCTCCCTGCCAAGGCTTCATGTCTTCTTATTGAAGGTTTTTTTTTTTTCATTGGACGTTAACAAACTGGTTCTGAGTTTGAAATCTCACACACAGCAGCTTTTAGGCATTTTTCTGTCGCTTGCTAGAAGTTACAGCGACAAAAAGGCACCTTAGCCTAATACAAAGATAATTTAAATTGTTTTCCCGATGGTGCGGCAGGGACTTAACTGTGCTCTGACTCAGTGCCCATTTTGATTTATTTCAAACTGTCAGTATCTTGACTTTTTTTTAAGATGCAGAATGTCAACTGCCAAAGCTGTTTACACTTTTAAATGTGTCTATAAAAATGTAATTGCTATGTTTTCTTTCTTTTATACCTCTAGATAACCACACTATGACGTCCCACTCCGCAGTGAGTATTCGGATTCTGGATGTAAATGACAACCCACCTGAACTTGCCACACCATACGAAGCCTCTATATGTGAAGACGCCAAACCAGGCCAAGTACGTTTTTTGTTGTTGTTGTGATTCTTAAATTAAAATCAGACACCTTCCACAACAATCATTTAAACCGTCCATTTTGAAAGTCCAAATGAGAGTGACAAACTATATGTGCACTCAATGATTTTCTCACACATGTCATATTGTATCACAAGATGGTCGCATGCAGGTAAAACAACACTCGCCCCTCTCCAAACCCTGTACAAGCAAATACTTAAGGCAATGGACAAAAATCCAACAAGTTACCACTACTGTAACATTATTCAGAGGTATAACCTCCTAACCTTTGAAAATGTTGTGGGTCTTGCTGATGCTTGTCTAGTGTACAAAGTTATCAATGGTCTGGCTCCTTACCCACTAAAAGAGTTAATATCACCGCGTGCAGATGGAGGAAGAACAACTAGGAGCGCCAACAGAGGGGATTGTGTTATACAGGACAGATCCTCTGAGTTTGGCAAATCAGCCGTCTCTATTAGAGCTACACACTTTTGGAACTCCATACCAGCTAAAATCAGAGAGTGCCGTAGCTTTGCTGAATTTAAATTTAAAATCAAATCATGGCTCAAATCAACTCAATCATGTCCTCAACAATTTTTCATGAACTATGTTTGCTAATGTTGTAGTGTATTGATTCAGTATGTTGTTATGGCTTTGTTGTTGTGGTGTATTGGATATATATGTTGCGGTATAGCTGGGTTTTTTTTAGTGTAGTTTCTGAAGTCAAGTGCACTTAGCCTATTATTGTTTTAATATAATGTGTGAATTTCACTGTGGACTAGTGTAATGCCATTGTTCAGTGGTCGTGTACTGTCTTACTGTTGTGAAGATGTTGTTAGTGTATGTTTTGTTTCTTCACAGAGACATTGTCTCTGTCTCCTGCACAGGGACTACAGATGTAAATTAGCTTATAGCTAACTCTGGTACAGCTAATTGGCTGTACACTGTCCCTGTCAAAATAAACAAATAAATAAATAAAATAAATAAACAAATGTCGGATTTATGTTTGCTAAACAACAAGTTGAAGATAAATGTTGTGTTGATCACGATTCTGTAGCTTCACAGATGGAGCCTCCGTTTCATTAGTGTAAATAAAGGCAGGAGCTTTGGTACAATGCTGTCATATAATCATAAATAAGGAGTTGTATCAAGACCACAAATAAAAACAGTATTGTGTGCTATTCAGTCTGAAAGAGAGAACTGAAAAACATTCACAGCTAACACAATATTAATCACAGCACAAAGCGTTATTTTTCTTGTTCATGCTGTGAGGTGAGCTGAAGTGTACTCAGTGGTGGTTAGTGTACTGAGACATTGATTTTGACTTGTGTTTATTCACATTTCACATAATAATGATAATACCCAATTAACGTGATAAAAAATAACAATACCTACATAAGAAAGGTCCATTCAAAATCAATACATACAAAGCAAAATGCATTTTAAAAGTAGAAATATAAATATAAAGTATAAAATAATAAGCAAGTTGTTAACAACTACAGCTTAAACTGAGTTTAGTTTCCTTTTGGACCAAGCATTACATTTTTAACAAATATAATTATTTTTACCTGTATCTAAAGTCTGAAAACCAAGGTGATAATGCTGCTTTATCTTAAGGGAGTCAAGGCTGAGTCAAGACTCGATTTTCACTTCAGTAAAACATAATTGGAAGAACTGTTTGAAACCTTGTAATTGAAGGTGTCAGCTACTGAGAAACAGTATCGTTTGTTCTTCAGCTCATTCCCATTTGACTAAATTGGTTCTTTACAGATAGCAGCGTGGTTGTTAAGTCTGTAGTCTTTGGCTTCACATGGAGTTATAATAAAGAGTGATTGACTGTAGAATGCCTTGTAACTTTCTCCAATACTTCTTAGTCCTAAAATAGATGTTAACATTACATTTCCCTATTTGTCACCATGACAGAAACTGAAATCGATATTGCCATTATATGATATGTAACTACAAGAAACCAGTTCAGAGTTGCTCAGGTGCCATCACAAGACTGATAATATTGTGGCCACTTCAGGTGGTTGTACAGGATTGTGCCACAGCCCCAGAAAAAGCCAATAAGAAGCCCTTGAGTTTGAGCATTAATCACAGATATTTCTGTGTTTGCTCATACTCACCAGCCTGTGTCTTTCAATAGCTGCTTCATTATTTCCATAATTCTGGTTCAGATTGTTTTCAGTTGCACACCATTATCTAACGCAACACTTCATACCAAAGGCAATTTATAAATCAGCTTTTTTGGCGAAAGCACAATTTGAAAGTGTCAGAATGAGAGCCAAAAACAAAGTGTTTCCCAATTAATTGATTTATATCCTCCTTTTTTCATGCTGGATGAAGATCATAAATCTGTAGGATTAATTTTTCACTGATTCCAATGTTGGATTACTGTCGACATTAGAAATGTAGCTGTTTAAACAAAATGGGATAGATTAGGGGGAATTCAGATTAGATCAAATGTAATGTTTGTATGGCTATAATGCCTGTCATAAAGTTTATGCACACAATAAAACAGGCTCTTCCTGAAAGACGTCAGTCACCAATTCATCTTTGTGGTACAAGCCAGACCAAGAGGGCTGTGATTCATGGTTTGTTTAGTCATTTCACACATATTTTGAAACAACACAGATTAACATAAATTCCTCAATGGCAAACCGGGAAAGGAAAAAACTCTAGTTTGACTTTTGTGTGGCTCATTAGCTGGTGTACATCAAACAGTGGGTGTCTGTTTGAAAATCAAGACAAAAGCAAACACCATGGTTATCCCAATCTAATAGCAGGACGGGTTTTTTTTGGGGACCACCATTAAAAATGGACTGAGTCATGAGGGTGTTTTATCCTCCACATAGTCAACAGGCCTTGGGCTAAGTTGGAGCCAATTATCATGTGCAGGGCAAAGGAATAATTAAGAAAGCACAGCTTTAAAGTGGGGCCTCCATGCTGGAAGTCACATTTACATGTTTAATGAGGCTCAGGCCTCTCCTCACCTTGATCTACAGACTCTTAACCACTTATTGCCCCCATGTGCCTTAGCAACACCCACCCACCTGAGCCTTTTGAGAACATTGTCTGGTCTGATCCCCACCTCTTCCACCTCGCTCCTTTTACCATCTGCGTGAGCCCACATTAACCTTCAGCTCCTAATCACAATGAGATGATTATACTCTTCTCGCAGAAAGATCATTGCTGGCTTCCAGCATTGTGAAAGAAAGGTTATTTTTTTGCTTTCATCCATGGAAATACATTCAAATATTTCAACGGAATTTGAGAGTGAATGCACAAAAATATGACATTTTATAGGACTGCTCCTTAATGAAGTTTAGTTGGTTAAAGTAACTAAAACTACATATATAGGCCTATAGAGAATTTATATTTTATTTTGTAGTACAAAATGTAAAAGATACAAAATAAACTTGAAATGACTAGTATATAAAATGGTGGTTTCATAACCTTCTAAGTGCTTACGAATGGCACTGTCATGTTGTTTTTATACATCGCTTTTTGCTTGATTTTTGTATCTTCTCTACAAAGTCTCTCTTTGTATGTTGTTGTTCGGAGCGCTGTCAGAATCAGCCGAGATTGAATGAAAATGTGTTAGCCTTGGGTCAGAGGCTTTCTGATGCTCATTTCCAGCCTCAGGGGTAACCACTGGGGGGCATGGGGAAAACAATTTTCTCTTCCATTTTATTTTCAGAAAAATATATAAAAAAAAAACAGGTTCCTACTAGTTTGTCAGTCACTGCATTGTTGTCTTTGTAAAAGCGAGTACTGTTGTGAAGAAGTTTTGGGTCCAAGGATTCGCTGTCTGTGTCTTCTTGTAGCGCTTTATTTTCTAATAATGCCAAGAATGAAGTATTTCTATTGTTGGCCTTCAAACTAGGAAAGAGAAAATAAAAAACACATAATTTAGGTAATTATTGGCTCATATAAACCTTTCACAATGACGAGGTAAACATCTTGAACCCCCCAAAAAATGTTGTTCAACCAGAATTCAGCTGGATGCTGCTGAATAGATCTCTGTGAATGAGTTAATTTTTGATAGTCAATTCTCAAAGAAATCAAATGCTGGCACCCTGCCCTTGACTGAAACTCAGTAAAGGACTTGACCTGTTGTTTTTTATTTATTTTTGTATTTTGGTTTTGTTGACTGTATGCCATCTTCTAAAAGCATGAAAGGGGGGCCTTATACATGCATATAAGTGCCTTAATATCTTAGGCTCCTGGGCTAGGAATATTCTGGAGGCCCTTTCCTTGGATTGAATAACGGATGCATGACATTTAAGACGGAAAACTTAAATCAAACCTCTCATCTCTGATATACAGAGAAAGTTTGTAATCTTTTCTTGTAAGCTCGTTCTACTGTTAATGACTTTTTGACAACAAAAAGCTCTGTTACTTATATAACGAGGCTCATTTATAAAATGGACAAGCTTTCAACAACTACAAAGTGCCCTCCTCTGTTCACAATATGTCACAACAACATTAATTCAGAACCCCAGACAACAGCCAACAAAAAACAAAATAGTAAATGCAAAGTCCTCTTCATCCGATAACACAATCTAGAAAAAAATATTCTGATGTGAACAATAAACAAAGATGAAAGTAAAAATGACGTTAAGTTATCGGCCTAAACTGCTTGTACGCAAAACGATAAAATACCTTTATACGCAGAAGTGCTTTCACCTTAATCTTCTAGATGAGAACTCCTCAATTATGTATTTAAAATCAGTGCTCGATATGCGTATTCTCAGCCCCTCTTACTATAATTTCACAGCATTTAGCTTTTCATAAATCAAAGTTTAGAGAAAGACCACTCTCCACTATCGTTGATGCTAAGGAAAGGTATGGGAAGGGCACTAAGGTAAGACCATGTTAGGGATCGCTGTCATTTTCTGCTGCTCAGGAATTTTAGCAGTCCAACTAACAATTTTTTTACCTGTTGCACAAAAGAAACTTGAAATAGAAAAACACACTCAAAGGTGAAGTAATAGCTTCCACTA